GAAAATGCTTCCTTGCATTATTTTTGAAACTGCACAATATCAGAATGAGGAAGTTGAGATGGGAAGATAAATATTGCTCAGGTTCATTCCTGATGGCCTTGACCTTTGGCTCCTTCAAGATGTCCAGTGATGGAAAGAGGCTTTATCTGCTTTGGCTTACCTAGGGGCAATTTTCTAGGACTGAGAGGCAAGTGTTACTCTTCCAGTGTATTAGGAGTCTTACGTAGAAAAGCTGTAGTCAGTACCTTATAGTCAGCGACTATATTAGTAGGAGATAAAAATATAAGTCTTTTTGTCTGCCAAAGCGAGCTGAGGAATGTCAGCATTCTAGGAACATGCGTAATTAGGATCTGGATAGAACATATGCCCGGAAAATATTTATGTACTGTAGCTTAAAAATAAAAGTGGTGGTTGTTACTTTAGCCCATCTTCTTTTCACCTTCTGTCATATACCAGAAGTAAAGGTCAGCACGGGCTGTACACTGTCAACCTGAAGAATATACTGTACCAAATTCTCAGCTGTAATGGATGTACTAGGTACAGTTAGCCATGAATTTTAACCCATGGAACTGTGTTTTGACATTGCTTTGTTAGCACTTTTTTAGCACCGTATGCTATACTGGTTTGGGAAAGCTGCTTATTTTCTTCAAGGAGTCTTGTCAGATGGGGGACAATATTGATCAGTAAAACATCTATATTTGATTTTTGGAAATATTTCCAAGTGCTTTTGAGATCAGTGTTACATAAGTCACTTTTACTCTCATAAGAAGTATTGGATTTTTTTGGTTCAGGTTAAAATATCTATATGGGTTTGGCAAAAGTGAAAATCAGGAGTTTGTCACATAATTCATGGTAAAGCATGTAGATCTTTATAAGTGGCAGATTTTGTTTTAACAGTAAAGTAGAAAAATTCTGATGTTCTTGACTTCTAGTTTCCTTGGTTATAAACACATTTCTAAATTACATACTAGGTAGCTGTTGTAATTTGACATAGCAACTGTCAAAGGTTTTAAAATAGAAGATTTTTAGATATGTACTGGCTGGCAGATAAATTTTTAAAATGGTTTTTCATGTTATATAATGTGGGACAATAAACACACAAAATCTAATTCTACTCTTCAAAATACTTTGAATTTTGACTTGGTTTGAAACCTGGTTTTACCAAAGTCAGACTAGTCTATTTTTGTCTATATTTGTTGAGACACTTCAAAGCTGTGAAAGGAGTGTACTTTCCTTGATTTTGTAATCTGTAGTTGAGAAGGCCTGGAATGTAGTATAACTTATAAAACCAAACCAGAACTCTAGATATGTACCTTAGGTAAGGTAATATAAAACCCCTGTAAAAACAGCAGATTGCTCTCCCTTTTTTAATAGTGGTAATACAAAATATAATATGCTTGCATAATATAGAGCTATAATTATGTTTTACACTTAAAGGAAGTAACATTTCTGAAAGACATGTTAAAAAAAAAAACCCTCAGTGTCATTTGCCATAAGGGATAAAGAGGCATAAATGTCAGAGGCATAACTTTTTACCAAAGTATTTCCAGATAATTTATTCATCACACTAGAACCCATCACTCACAAAGGAAAAGCACAGCTACCCTTCAGAAAAACAGATTCTCTTCGTGCTGTGTTTCCACAATCTTATATTTGCCAATTGCAGGGGAGGTTAAGAAAAACTGAAGGATAAAGCAAATGTTTTTCATCTCTCAAAGTGAAACCTGTCTTTCTGCAATGGCTGAATACAGGAACAGTTTTTAGAGTTTAGCTGTATTGGATTTTTGTGGTGACCTATATGAAGGAAATTTTCTCATTTATTAAAATTGTTCAACTTAGATTTCATCAAATAACTTTAAAGTTAATTACTCTGTTTCTGCACATTCTAATTATCATATGTTAGTGAGTTTCAGCAAGTCAGCAACTAGCAGACTAAGAACATATTAAATAACCTTTTTATGGGGTAAAGTGAATAAACTGTATTTGTAATGGGATACTCTTCTGTACCATGAATTTGAAAAGGTGAAATTTATATATTATTTTATAATAATGATAATTTAAATAGCATTTTATAATAATGAAAAGATGAATGGAAGAATAATGATGTTAAAAGTTGTCATCACTATCCTGATGTAATTTCATCATTACTCTTAATACCTATCTTTATTTTGTCTGTTGTAATTTGTTTTTCCAGTCTGTTATTGAAAATAGTAAATTCTTTGAGCAGTATGAAGTTACATACCAGATCTTGAAAAGAGCAGCTGAAATGTATGCCAAAGCAAATGGCTCAGGTAAATATCTATATTTCTTTTGTCACTGGGACAGCATTTTAATCTCTTTAGACACAAGTATCCTCTAAAATATCTCCTAATATTTGTTTCTTCCATGAATCAGAGCTATTTACCACCAGCAGCTGCAGTTCACCAGAGAGACTACAGCCTCTGGTAGCAATTTCACATGTTCTCTAGCACATAGCCACCTGGTTTAGAGCACCCTGCTTTAAAATTTCTGAATCTCCAGAGTAGGGTGGTCATGTTCAGACTTCCTCATGGGAAAATTCCATGGTCCATGCTAACTTCTGGATCATGTCAGTGTTGCTGATTTGGGCCGAAAGTGTGCCAGAGACCAAATGAGGAGTAGGAAAAATCATGTTCTGGTGTCTGAAAATGCTCCCTGGCTTGGCTTCATTTACTAGAGAAAGACAAATAGAGACTAGGTCCCAGTATCATTGTAGTTACAAAATTATCCCTTGATTTATTGAAGATTCTTCATTAACTTTGAAAACCTGTAAGAGAAAGTCAAATGACAGTTGAAGTACGGATATACATGAGAAAAATGCGTGGCTGGTTCAACAGCTGCCTCCTGTCATTCCTGAACATTGCTGAGTTCAGTGAGTATTCACGAGGGCAATATTTGACCTAGATAATTACAGACATGAGATCACTTTAATCTCTGATGAGGAGATAACACAGTAATGTCTGTGGAGGATTGCTGCAGCTGCTAAAGGGGAGAGAAAACAGATACTTTTTTGTTGTGAAATTTAAGTTGATAGTGACACTCAAATTTTACAAAAGTAAACATTTTTACAAGGTATTCTGACAAAGAATAAAAGCCGTAGATTCATTTAATGCTATTAATAAAATCCAAGAACAAATTCTTTTCTAAAGAACAGGTACTTGCTTATATGAATTCAGAAATAACAATGCAAATTAGAGGACACCTTAGCTAAAAACTGTTTTAAATATCTATATTCTGCATATTTTATGAATTCTCAGAATCTGCTTAGTTGTGTTTCTTCTCTTTGCTTTTTTTTCTTTTGGAATGAGGACACACTTGTTCCTTTATTTTCATGAGGAAAATGCTAAAAACTAAATGGCCAAAATTAGCAGCAGTTTAGTTTCAAAGTCAATGGAAGGAAAATCAGATTTTAATTCAGACATAATGTGTTTTTCTATTATACATCTCTCATTTTCTGCTTTTTAAAGGAAAGTTTATCTCTTGATTTCTTTTAATGCAGATTTGGAATGAACACCACATGGAATGTGCAGTGTAGCTGTTTTAATGTAACTTTTGTTCTATGTAGTTTACTCAGTCTTTAATTCACAGGTTTAATTTCTCAGTCATAATTTTGCACTGAAATTGGGCTGTGAGCTGAACATATGTATATAAAAGCCCACTTAAATAGAACTTTCAGTAAAATATAATTCCCTGATCAGAATGGATGAGCATAACAGAAAGTTAAGCTTTACAGAAATAATAATGAACCAAAATAATGTCTTTCCTGTATCACAGCGGAAGAAGTTGAGAATGTGATGAAATTCATGAGTGAAACCACAGCTCAGTGGAGAAACCTCTCAGTAGAGGTGAGAAGTGTAAGAAGCATGTTGGAAGAAGTAATTGCTAATTGGGACAGATATAGCAGCACGGTGGCAGGTCTACAAGCTTGGCTGGAAGATGCTGAAAAAATGCTGAATCAGCCTGAACATTCTAAAAAGGTATGCACCAATAGCATATGTAAATTTTGAAATGTAGGATATGATTTTGCATTTACTTTGCTTGTTTGCAAAATGTCATACAAGAGGGGATTTTTTCAGAATTTGGCATACTGTTTGCATTCATCAGTGTTTGCTCGTATAGCTTCTACAGGCATGTAGAGCTAGACATACTATGAAGGAAATCATCATCTGTGATAACATTGTTAGAGGCATCTTTGACATGAATATAGGGCAGCAGTATTGTTCAGAGATAGGAAGGTTACATGATTCATTCAAAGGCAAATACAGCTCAATATCAAGGTGCATAGTCATGGGCTACCTATAAAGACACTTAAAGAAAATTATTTTTTCACTGATTTTTCTACCATGTGTAGACAATAGATTTAATATTCAATTACCTTCACAAGACATTATTATTAATACATGTTGTTATGTTTGATAGGTTGGTAATTAGTCCATTTCCCTAGCATTTTAGAAATCTTTTAGACAATTTGTTTTGGGGACCTGCAGTTATAAAGATAGTTTTTCTAATTTCTTTCTGTTGTAATATTAGAGTGCTGAAGCAATAAGATTTAAGTTTGTGAACCTTCAATAATGACCTAGATTGACTTGAATAGTTCTGCATTTATTGCTGAGCAGGAAGGATGACTTCAGCTGATTAGGGTGATCTTAGATCCTAGTGTATGTTTTATGTAAGCAACTGGACAATGTTTAAAATGTTTAAAAATTCTTAAATCCATGTATATGAATAAAATCAAAACATTTGCTTCCCTACTCAGATTTATAACTTTAAAGATTTTCAAAGCACAAACTTGAACATACCCATACAGTATATACTTGCTTCTGATTTCTAGCCTAAATCCAACAAGGAATTCTTACCATTCTGATATGTTCCAAGTTTCAAAAAGCCTTGTTGAAAACCTTAGGCATGAAGGCATTATTCTTCCCAAAATGTTAATTTCTTCTTAAAATTACATTGGCTCAAAACTGTTAAAGATTACTGAGTGGTAGCATAATCCTCCTGTAAACTGACATACATATTTTAAAAGTTATTTCTGCTTTTAATGTTGAATCTAACAGTCCACCGCAATAACATTCACGTAGATAGTTCCAAGGATAATTCTGATTTAGTGGTTTTAATACTTGATTATTAAAACCAAAAGCATTCTTATATTCGTTTGTACAATTAATAGTCTTACAGCCATCAGGAAAAGCATCTAGAAAAGCTGGTGAAAGATGGTAACTATTGTTTGGAATATGGCATAAAACATTTTTAAACATTTCAAAATATTTGTTCTGTAAAGTCACAAATAGATGAATAATATGGTACAAAGTTGCTCATTTGCAAACCTTACCTGTATTACTTAAACCCATCATATTATATCCTAGGCAAAGACCATAGTAGGCTTTTACCATGCTGTCATGATTTTTTCTTATTTCCATTATCTCTGTATCATTTCAAGACAAGCACATACCATTGTTCCCTTTGGAAAAGAAAGTGGCTTGTTGACTTTCTCATTGACTTCTGTTTTCAGAAACCTTATTGTGACCATGTAGCAGAGATCTTGCAAAAAAAAGTCAGTATGCACTTGGATTTTTCACACTGCTCCTTCTACAACTCCTTTGTTTACTTGCAGTACCTCTTAAGCACTTTCCATAATAATCACATTCTATCTGCACTCTCCCACACTTTCCTCACATGGCTTTATCCAAAAGTTTTCAGAGAGCTTCTAGATCTCCTGTGGGAACTTCCTTAAAAAGAGCAAAATTGTTTTAATTGAGAATGAGGTGCGCTTCACAGTACCTTCCAAACTTGTTTAAATTTTACACGTGCTTTAGGTTGGCTTCTGAAATGGAGAGACTCCCCAGCAGGGTCTGAGGAAGGTAATGATTTGTGGGAACAAGTGTGCAGGAGCAAGGATGTGAGTAGTTTGCTCCATGTGCTTTTTCCTTCTTGACCTGATCACTGGAGGACTGATCAGTGTTAGACTCAGTGGCCTTAATTTCTTTTGAATGTGCTCATAAAGGCAACCTTTGCTGAAAGGAAGAGGTTTGCTCCACTGTGAGTGGAAGAAGATTCAAACTGCAGATACAATTTGTTGAAATGATTAAATTTATTCACTGGCACATCAGTATGGACTACCTGTACTCTACTGATCTCAGCTTAAGGAATTGAAAACACTGTGTCTTTTCAATGCTTTGTTCAAGATATTTGACCAGTATGCATCCATTTGACTTTTTTTCTTTTCAGTTGCATCTGGACTGTTTTTACATGTGGATTAGTTCTGACAAATATAAACTATGAAGTTTCAGAACTGTAGCTCTGAAGCTTGGGATGACTGACAGTATGGTTGGATAGAACTTTTTCACATCTACCCTTGAGCAAAGGATTGCATGGGACTGTCACTGGCAGATGAACAGCCTTGGAATTATAGAGCAGATTGATAGACATAAACAAAATGGATCATTGCCCCTTCCTGACTCCCGGGAACCAAGTGTCATGGTTCAGCTTGAATCCTTCTGGCTACTCTTTTTTTTTCATGAAAGAAGGTGCCCTCATGATTTAGTCTATTTGGAACAGTCCTTGCTGTGTGCCATCCATTGAATTGTGCACTGTTTGGGAGAAGGGTAGCAGGGACAAGCCAAAACCATGTTAGAGAACATGTGGACAATCATGAGACAGTGATTGAGTCTTGTTTTGTTTATTGGTATAGCTGGAGTCACAGAGCCTGGAGATACCTGCCTTAGGAACAATTGCCCATCCTCTTGAAGAGAGAAAAGGAAAGGAGGGAGTTGGTCTTTGTCTTCTCTACCAATTTATGTGCATGTACCTGCCTACAAGATGCATAGAGTCTATTTAGGTTGTATCACCAGGACAGGGAGGGCAAAAAAATCAGTAACACCTATCCCTTTCCCCTCTGCACTCACCTGCTCTGGGGTTGGAGGAAGCAATGATAAAGAATCAGTCTTAGCAGGTGTTCTGGGGTGCCAGACCCTGGAAAGCTGTATGTGCTTGACAGCAGGGGAAGGATGTCTCTACAGCCTGTATATGCCCCAAGTTACTATCAGCCCCTTCTGTTTCAAGACAAGACAGAATTTAGATGAGCCCTAAATGTTTTTAGTTATGGAGCTTTGTCTAAAGAAGGAGTTCCATTAGTTTAACTGAAGCTACTCACTGGAGTAAACTGAACAGTAAGTAAATGGCAGTAATTTTTAATTCCACAAAGGTTCACAGATGTTAAAATTCTATTATGGCATATTGGATGTGAAGAGCTTCAGAGGATAATTTTTCAAAGAGTTTTTATCAAGCCATGAGCTGGTGATTAAATTTTGGTTTTGTGATTTAAAATAAAGACTATTTGACAAGGTTTTGAAAGGTGTTTTCATTTTTATCTTTAGGATTTCTTCCGACACTTACCCCATTGGATCCAACAGCACACAGCCATGAATGATGCTGGTAATTTTCTGATTGAAACATGTGATGAGACCATTTCCAGGGATCTTAAACAGCAGCTTCTGTTACTAAATGGAAGATGGAGAGAATTGTTTATGCAAGTTAAGCAGGTAAGTGATTTTGCCCTTGTTACTTCTAAATACTTACTTTGTTGTTTCCATGCAAGCAAGACAGATTTCCCCACTAGCAGATCTGTAGGACAACTTACTAAAGTGCCTAACTGTACATTTGAATTAGAAATTACTCCCTGACTGTAGTTTAATTTATTTGGGCTCTTTCTTTATTTATCTTTTTGGTTATACAGCTGTATATTTTTATTTTTGAACATTTTCAAGTTGGTATAAGCTGTAGTTTCTTACTATGGCCACCCATCCTGATACAGTGAATGTTATTTATACAAATCTTCCCCTGTTCTTTGAAGGAAATGATTAGTTTTCAGTAGCTATTATTGTAAAAGCTCTGTGACAGTGAAAGTGGTGAAAATTATTATTTTTACTACTCTTTGATGAAAGCTGCATTCAATTATTGTACTGCACCCATATGCAGGTACAGTGCAAATTAATTAACTGAATGTTTTCCCCAGATCGGTCAGACTTTACTTCTATCTTGCCTACAAGGACACACTGATAGTAAATGAAAAAAACGTAGTCTTTGTCACCTGGTAGAGCTTCAACTGATAGGAAAAGAATTGTTGTTTCTATATTTGCTCCTTAAAAAGTAAAGAGAAGGTGTGAGATTAATTACACAGAGGTATTTCACACCCCATAAACACATTAGAAAATGTCTTTGCTCTAGTTAATATACATGTGATGATATTGTCCCCTTCCAGTGATTTTGCCTATTTGAAGGTACTGAATCTGTTTTCATTACTGGCATTATTAGTTCCTATACAGTCAAGTTAAAAGGAAAAACAAATAATGATTGCAAGAAGGTTGGACCAGATGATCCACTGTGGTCCCTTCCAACCTAACTGATTCTGTGATTTCCTCTCTATTGTAACTTTTCCAGAGTGTTGTCTAGAATGTTCTCAAGCTTTATTTTGCTGATGATATTTAGGGTGATTCACCAATGTAAATGTCTCTTCCCCTACTTATGCAGCTTCTTACATATGCTGGCCATATGTTTTTTTCTCACTGGCTCTTCACCATTTCTGTCACGCAGCTCTTTCCACTTTTTAAGACCTGTGTTTCCCCTTTCTCCAGCCAGCATTCTTTTATTGAAATTTCTCTTATCCTTCGGCTTTCCTAGGCTTTTCATGTTCCAGTCTCTTTGCTGAATTTTAAAAAATTATATTGTAGGTAATAAAAAATTAATTGAATTGTAGATTCTGGGTTAGAAACAAATGAGATCCTGGAATGTACCTCAAATGATCCAAACTTTAAAAAAGGCTGACCTCCTGTATGCATACTGTTCTTTTTAGCATAATCACTATTGAAACTAATGGAGATGATTAGTGTCTAAATAACTTAGATTACCTTGCATTACATTGTATTTCATTGAGTAAAATTTTCCAGCGAACAGTTGCACTTAAAACATGCTAATTCTCTTACGTCATTACTTAATTGCCAGATACGTAATTTGAAGTGGTTATTTTTTTTTGTTTGTTTGTTTGATTCTTTTTGCTTTACTTTTTTGTAGTATGCTCGAGCCGATGAACTGGACAAAATAAGGAAGGAATATATGGATGGTGTTGAGCATTTGACAGCTTTTATTGATGAAAGCAATAGGAAATTTTCAATGCCTGTCGAAGTGTCCTTCCATGATGTCAAAACGTTTGTACAAGATTTAGAAGTAAGTGTCTTCCTTTCATTGCTTTTTTTCTCCTTCATAAGAGTGAAACTTACAACTATTTAATTCTGATAGCATAAAATTGTTTTAGTATACATTTCCATTGCTTATTTGTTTCTCTTTTACTAGTGGTGCTTTTTTTTTTTTTTTTTATGATTTCAGCTATAGCTGTTATAAATCATTTTATTCCATGAGTGACTTTTTCAGAGTTAATTTCCAAAACACTGTCCTATTAGATATTTCTTTCTGTGTAGTTTGAGGTGAGTTGACTGATGCCTTTTAGCTCAGTTTTCATGCATTTGAAATATGATCTAGTGTTCACTAAAATCGTGATGAAAATAATTGATGGTTAGAATATGTATCTTTTATCAGTCTTGTATCTCCCATGAATGCATAAATATAGTTGTTGAAATATTTTTTGAAACACTTGTTTCAGAATATTAAGCAGAAGTTGGCTGCAATGGAAGCTCAGTACAAAGCAGTTTCAAGAACAGTGCAACTTGCTACAAAAGAAGTTTCCCAAGAGGAAGTGAATGAAATGCTGGGAACTTTGTCGCGGATCAAAGAGCAGCTGAGCAAGGTTGCAGAATACCTTTCCTGCTCCACATGTTGAACTAATAAATAGTAACCCCTGTACATAAATGCTCACATATATGCATTTGAACAAATATGTAGTTGTAGCAACAAATTGATTCAGGATGGAGAACATGTTACTTCTCTTAGGTAGTAAGAGAATTCTGCAATCTAAAATTTAATAGTCTTTAAGAAGCAGTACGATAGTACAGGTTTGATCTATCTTTAAAAAAGTTTAGGTAGCAACTATATAAACGTACATGCAGAGGAAGTTGTTATTTATTGAATTTTACGACTTTTTTCAATAATTATTTGTCTTTAAAATGACCAAAAGGTTAAGGAGTATTCCTGTGCCCTGCTGTATGAATGCCAGCGTCTGGTGTCTCCACTGGAAGAACTGGAGAAGCAAATCACACATTTTTATGAATCTCTTGAAAAAGTCAATGAAATAATTTCCATCGTCGATCCTGAAGCACAACCCACAAGTGTTCTGAAACAAAAAGCACAAGTAAGTTTCAAAAACATCTTATAAAGATCTGCTGCCTCTGAGTATTTACAATTAGCTTTCTAGGAATTTGAATTGCAACTTGGTAAGCTGAACAAATGTTTCTTCATATTCAGGCAACAAACATAACCTTATCCTAAAGTCAGCTAGACATAAACATACAGATTGAAATATGTTCTCTCCTAGTGTCCTTGGTTTCAATACAAGAAGTAAATCTACAACTTCTTTTTTAATGTAGTGGAAATTGGACTGAACTATTAAAAAGATATTGGATTTTTTATGAAGCAGATGAAATAACATGATCAGAAACTTCTCTACGTTTCCTTGGAGAGTTATGATGGTTTCTTAGGAGTCTGGAAAAGTAGTTTCTTTGAAGTGCATTGTAGTAGAACATTAACTTTACTACCTGGCCAATAAACATTTGTCTCTGGAGGAATTTGGAGCTAGTCAGAACTCACTTGGAAAGGTAAATGAAAATATAGGGATCTTGGATTAGAATTGAGGTTTATCCATGTGTATGTGTGGTATATAGCTCTGAAATAGTCCCTCAAAATTAAAGTATGCATTTCATTAGAGCTGGATTTGACAGGTAGTATAAATAAATGGATGTTTTTTATGGGAAGCTGAAGTCTTTCAAAGCCAATTAGAGCCCCTTTCAAAAAAAAAAACAAACAAAAAACCCAGAAGGAGCAAAGAGATTTAATTTCGTGTGTGTGTGTACATATACAAAAATTGGTTCAAGCCTATAATGGCTTTGGAAATTGGCCCAGTAATTCCACAAGAAGGGTCTTCTCTTCCACTGTGACTTCAAGCTTTGATTGCATTTCAGTAAAAATGATCTGGTAAGCTTGAATCAAGTCAGTCCATTTATCTTCCCAAGTGAATTGTCTTCTGTTTATGAACACCAGGTAAGTTATGTGTACAAACTGCAGGTTAAGGAGCAGCTCCTACGAGTGCTCCTTTCCTCTGTATTCACATGTTGACCTGCCCCAGAAGGTCACACTAAAAACACATGTTGCTCCTGCAGTTATTTGTCAACCAAGGAACCAAAATCATGTGATTTATATGGAGACTGATGGTTTCTGCCTAATCCAAGAATAACTGAGATTTGTGCTAAGGAATAAAGTGCTCCTTCAGTAGCAGAACCATTTCCTCACTACAGGATTTTTAAACTATTTTTTTCAGCCTTTGCTACTTGCATGTTTTCTTCTCTCTTTTTTTTTTTCAAAGCGTAATTCTCATTACTTAAGGCGATTTGTAATGAAATCTCAATTCCAAAAGCTGGCACAAAAGATTCTTTTGTTGAAAGCAAGGTTAAGATCTGAACCTGCTACTGAGAGCTGTCATTCTTATGTGTATTGATCTCACTGCTGCCTACTTACAGTTATAAAATAAATATAGAAATCCCATAAAATTAAAAAAGACAATAACGACCTACATTCTCTAAAATTATCCAAAGAACTTGTTACCTGTCTGTGTCTTTTTTTACAAATATGTAGAGCTCTATTTGGGTCCAGGACTTTGCATACAAGGAGAAGTTGTGTCATTTGTGTTATTCAATATGATAGTTTGTGTAGTCTGTTTCTGGTGGTCCTTTGACCTTTTCCCTTTAGTTGTTATTGTCAAAAAACATCATCCTGTTATTTTGCCAAACTTTTCTCTCCTTTGTTCCTGGCCAGGGTGGATATATGTTTTTTTCTTTCAGGATTTGGTAGCTTATCAAGAAAACTGCAAGAAAGATTTATCCCTGATTGAGAGAAACAGTCAGAGTATCCTGCAGTCTGTGGGTTCGAGTGAAGTGTTACAGCATTTCCATCAGTCAACATTTCAGAAGAAAGTTACACAAGTTCAGCTTACTTTTCAGGTAATAATTTCATACCTTGGCACACATTTTTGAAAATTTATTCATGTGTAGTTGATTCATCCTATGGTCCATCCATATCATCACTCTAGCCACTGTCCTGGATAACTTCCCTCTGTGGTGCCAAGTTATTAATTAAGGTTTTGTCTGTATTAGGTAGTAAGTGGTCAGGGGACCACTTGAACATGACAGTCATGTTCTCCATGCAGTTACTGAGAGGTGAGCCTGCCACAGAGGAACCTGTGATTTAAGAGAACTTTCTAAAGGAGCCTGAGACATGTGAATGAGGAACCTGAAATCTGACTGTTAGGGCTGCACCTCACTTTTGGTTGACACTTAACACCTTTGTTCCTCCTGACTTTATTATGTTGGCTAATTATTTTCTTCTATATTCCTGTGCATCCCCTTTCACACAAAGCATGGAAGATGGAAACTTTTGTACGTGCTACTATTGCCAGGCTCTGTATTTCTTCAGAAAATGCAGTGGATTGTGAATATAGAAAGTTGCAAATACATTGCATTTGTTAGTGTAAAGGTGTTTGCTTTGGTCTATATCCACCCCTTACCTGTAGAGCTCAATGTTGTTATTATCAGTTACTACTAATGGTTTTGGGGCTCTTTAAAAAGATTTAGCAAGATGTTTAACTTTAGAACTACAGATTTGATTAACTCACTGGGTAAACTCACTACAATTCCTTACCCTGGGCTTTGTAATCAGTGAGGATGATAAAGTACATGTTTAGTAAGCAGTGTTGAAATTACTTTGCTGCAGTTAAACTGCTGAACTGTTCATTTCTCCTGGTAAGTTTTGTAACCACTGAATAAAGCAGGGACAGACTACAAAGCAGAACAATGAAGAGTTGTGACTAACATTGCAAAGCAAGAGGATTTCAGCAAACTAGATCCAAAAATTTGCTTGCTTTCTTTTTAAGCAGCTTTCTACCTGGTTACTTATGTGACCTACTGGTGTGATAATCTCTACTCCAGGTCAGAAGAATTGTAGCATGGAACTGGTTGGATCCATGGGTCAAATCAAACCACCCTCATGTTGAATCATGTTATGAGGAGATACTCTGGTACTAGGAAAAATGAAAGGGCAAGCTTTTGGTCATACCAGGTGCTTTATATTTGTAAGCAGGCTTTAGGAAAAAAACACTAATCAAATGCCAGAGGCATTCTGAAAGTATCAGAGACATCTATGTTCGATATCTGCTAAGTTTTATTTGAACGAAGGATGGCATTTGCACAAGCCTTAGTATAAGTATTAAAAATTGTCAAAACGGGAGTATGAAAGGGAGAAGCATGGTGAAAAGCATGTATTTAAAAGACAGACACAAATTAACTGCATGTTTTGTAAGATCATGGTAAAAGAGAGCAAATGAAAAATCAATGTGAAAGCGTCATTTAATTTTCTTTGCTTGTAACTCAGAATATGGTCAGGAAAGCTGGTGAGTGGAGAAAAAACATAGAAGCAAATAGCCGTTTGATGAAGAAATTTGAAGAGTCTAGAGCGGAACTGGAGAAAGTAATACAGATTGCCAATTGCTGCTTAAAAGAAAAAGGAAATCCTGAAGAACTTCTCAAAAAACATAGCGTGAGTAAATTCTCTGACTTCCTCATGGAAATCTTTGAGTGCATGACATACAAGTGAAAAGCCTACTTAATTTTAAAATTGATGTGCATTTCTCACATATGTAGAAGTTACACAGATCAGAATAAACTAATGTTAAGACTGAAAAACAAAAAGGAAAAATTGCCACCTCTTTTAATGATCACTGTAAGCAACCAGAAGGTGGAATGACCCTGTAGAAATTAGGGCAGGTTTTGTCAGTAGAGGCATTAAGAGTTCAAACTGTATTCTTTGCTAGTCTTATGCATCCACTGCCCTTTTTTTTTTCAAATTATATCTGTGTCTGTTATTATAGCCATTACTTATGCATGTAGGTTTGAAATGTATTCATGTTAAAATGCCATCTCAATCTATTGGCTGAGAATAAATTAATTTGCTGGACTTTAAATAGCTAAAAATACTTATTTTCTTAGCTCAGATTTCAACTCTTCAATGCAACAGTAGTAACCTTGAAACTTACAGTGTGTGTTAGGGAAATTCATGTTGGCAGGTTACCGTATCAATAACCAGATTCATCTTCTCACCTTCTCACTTTCTGCCTCAACTTCAGGAATTCTTTAACCAATTGGATCAGAGGGTCCTAAATGCCTTCCTGAAAGCATGTGATGAACTTACTGACATCCTCCCAGAACAAGAGCAACACAACCTGCAGGAAGCTGTGAGAAAACTCCACAGGCAGTGGAAGGTTAGTGCATGATGTCTCTGGAAATTGTAAATCTTAGTTTCAGAAAGTTTCTACATGACCTATATATTGAAAAAAATCAAAATAAAATAAATAAATTATATTATTTGGCTCCCTGTAGAATTCGAAAAAAAAAGTATTTTACAACACTAGATACCACTATACCTACAAATCTTGAGAAAGCCCTGTTAAGTAAAGTCAAGAAATGTGAGAAATTATTTATAAAACCTTAATTCTTCTTCTTATATACAGCCATAATGATACCTGTGTTAAGAACTTTTCTTGACAATAGGTGCTATCTTTTCTTACTTTATGATGCTGTTTGGATGATTGAAGTTATTTTCCCAACCAAATGAAACAAATCTGTAAGAGATCAGGCTATCAATTTACATTGTGTCTTCTGCCAAAAACTCTAACAATTGAACAAAATTTGTTCATAAGCTATGGAATTTTTTTGCCTGCTACAGCGTGTTGCTGGTCGAAGCTGGAGTGATGGATGAGTTGTCTCTCATTAGCAGACAGGAAATTACACAAGAAATTATACAGAAAATATTTGGTATATCTTACCAAGAGTTATGAGTTCCCTCTAATGTGCCTTATACACATATATTTTGGTCCCAACTTATGACCTTATGATATATCTAAGACATATTGGTAACAAAGTGAATATAGAGAAACCCCTCTCTGTTCATGCATATATATATATGCTTTATTTTCTCTATTATCAGATTTTAGATAATTCATTTGGAGTAACTCCACACTGAGGTAATGGGAGTACTGTTTTATCTCTGTGCTTCTTTATTGCCCCTGTGGTTGTGTAGGATCTTCAAACAGAAGCCCCATATCATTTAATCCACTTGAAGATTGAAGTACAGAAAAGCAAGTTCCTGGTCACAGTGGAGGAGTGCAAAGCTGAACTAGCTCGACAGAATAAGGTGTTATCAAGAGAAAGCAATGAAAGGATGATCAAGGAACACGTGGTATGAATTATGTGCCACCATGTGGGCATTTACAGAAATACATTCCAATGTCAGTAATAAACAGAAGTTCTGACCAGCTCTTAAGCCACCAACCATTTTGTGCCCAGCTTGTATTAGATCAATTCTTGGGGTCTTTAACAAATTTTTTTATTTGAGCTTAGGAGTTTAGAACAAATAAATAGATATGCTTTGTGATTTCCTCTAGTTTGTATTTTTCTTGAATTTTCTGCTTTGTCTCCCATCAGTTGTTCTTCGGTGATAAGGGATCTTACCACCTGTGTGAGAAAAGGCTACAACGAATTGAAGAACTGTGCCATAAACTGCCAGTTTCTGATCCAGTGAGGGGTACATTGGAAAGCAGCCAACGAATCCTGAAGGACCTCAAATCCCAGATAGACAGCACATACATAAAGCTAACAGAGCACTCGGACACCTGGAAGGGCTATAAGAGCAGGTGTCAGCTCAGTTGCTATCTGGGTCTTGTAGAATCTTGCATATGGTCATTCCTCTATATGTCATCATAGATCACTACCATATAAAGAATGCTACTGTGATGTTAGCTTCAAGTAGAAAACTAGACTTTATGTAGTAATTACACAAATTATATTGGGGGGTTGAGTGGATTTTATAAATTTTTTTGCTTACATTTAAGAGCTTACTGTTCAGTGGTGGCATTTTTTGTCTAACTTTCTTGTTTGTCTTGCATTATGTGATGTTTTATTTCAGATTTTCCGAATTGGCAAATTGGATTTCATCAACAGAAAGAGAGCTCAAGAAGATAAAGGAAAATGTTAATGATACTGCTAAATACAAGCAGTGTAAAGCTTCTGTAGGGGTAAGCCTCTGACATATTCTAACAAAGCTGTGGCCATTGCTACTGGGACTCTGGATAAAACTGTATTCTGAAGTAGTGCAACTGTTTTACTATGGAGACCATAGTAGATATGCTGATTACTGGTATTCTTAAAAGCATTTTCAGGAGAAAGTTGCACGTGCGGAAAGTGTGGCAGAAATTCCTCCTTTTAGTAATTTAGAGAATGTCAGGTCCCTTTCCCTGTATATTTAGAACATTCAAAATATAGGAGCAGATAGAATAAATGTTGCCCCTCATCCTACTGCACACAGTTAAAAGTGCTGTGCAAAGCAAAGAAAAATTTTCTGGATTGCAAGTTTTTGAACGGTCTTACACTCGATTATATATATATTTCAGGAAATCTTCTATCGTACAAATTCTACGATAGGAAGGAAAAGATATTCTATCCTTCACTTTTGCATTGGTGACTGGTAACAGAAGTGATAGAATAGCTGAAGATTGTGTTGGTTAGTTCAATTAGTTATAGACAATAATTTATTGTGTTACTTTGCACCCAGCTTGACCCTTCTTTCTTACTTTATTAAACTAGACCAGCAACCCGGTCTAGTGAGGAGGTGTCCCTGCCCATGGCAGATGGGGTTGGGACTAGATGATCTGCTAGGTCCATTCCAACCCCTAAATTCTATGATTCTATGATTTTATGGTAACTAAGAAATATGGTCAATATATGGAGCATACATCGTGGTGTCTGCCATTTATCTCTCTATCTGTAGGTAAAGAAGTTACTTTGTGAGAAACAAGTACTCCACTATTGCTTACTAAAACCACTCTAATTAGAAGTGGAGTAAAATCCATAGAAGAAATGCAAAAGTCTAGCCATTGACTGGAACAGATTATGATAGGACATGCAATTAGAAAAGTACTACATTTCTAGTACTGCAGGATAAAAACAAAGTAGTATGTTTCCATTACTAATCTCTGAACTGATGCTGTGAATGCCAGTTGTTAATATATTTTATTTGAAGAAAATGTTTTGATTTTTTCTGTAGGAAATTAGGAGGCATATTCACAAGCATGGAGAAAATCACAGCTGGCTGAAATCTAGAGTTGCTGTTTTGACTGCAATATGTCCTGATTTGGAGGCCAAAGAGACAGAGGATGAGCTTTGTAAACTTTCCAGTGACTTCAAGGGACTCCTAGATTTGCTGGCTGAGGTACAGTATGAGGGACATAAGAACTCTCCGTTTACAGTGTCACCTGAAATGACATCAGTCATGACTTCACAAATATGAGTTCCCTGCTGTGTGTTTTTAATGAAACCGAAAGCATTCAGCAAGAATTTGTACTCTGTGGGTAGAAAAGTGTCAAGAGTAGCAGACAAAAAATCCTGCCACTCTTATAGTGGATCTTTTCCCTTTGCAGAATTGGAAAGTATCATCATAAATGTTTCTGCAAGCAAACTGTCCATATTTATTGTTTTCTAAAATAAGCTTGTAGTGAACATGAGCGAAACCATGATATCCATCAGCTAGTGGATATAGAATTTGACTTCGATCTACATTTATTTGTCTTTTATGCTGAAATAATGTTCTGCTTTGAGGTAGTTTCTAGTCATTAAGGATGTCTATCACGCCCTGCATTTGCAGGAAAAGGCTGCAGTTCTCTGAGGTCTGAATGATAATAAGGTACTCTAACTGCTGAAATCATGGGAATTTTCTAACTCACAACAAACAAAACGTCTTAGAACCACTGAACCCTTGAGTTCTGTGGGATCTCAACAACCTTACTGCTTCAATGTTTTTACAGTTTAAAGAAAAATTGGGTGCAACTTAGAGTATCTTGCATCCTTAGAAGGTAGAATAGATCCCCTTTAAAAAAAAAGGTTGAGCACAGAGTTCAGACTTCAAATACCATTTTAATGTCAGTTGTTGTGAAGGCCTTTTAGGGGTTACAAATGTATAAAAGTTCCATGTCTTTATTGAAACTTCTATAAACTTCTGTGGTGTGAAAACTGTGTTTGGAAATTTGGGACAACCAATGCGGTGATTTCCTAATGACAGCAAAACATTAAAGACAGTATTTTATTCTTTTTTTTTAGGTTTTGGGGGGGTGGTTTGGTGCTAAATTACTTTTGCTTTTTGTTTCACCTAAAAGTCAGAACTAAGGGGAGCACAAGTTCATGAAGGTAATAGAAGAAAATAAGAAGTAGAATCTATACTTGTTTTAACTCTAAAAACATAATCTAAATAGCACTTTAGTTAAAAGACTGCTGATTCTTAAAAGTCTGAATACCCTTTATAAAGCTTGTTAATCAGATGGATGCAACTGTTTAGACAAGGACTGAGTGTTTCCATAGGTCAGCATTGTTTTTGGAGAGTAGACTAAACACTAATATAACAGGAAACAGAATGGCTTGAATCTGAATGACTGTTCAAAGTAAATGTGGAAGAAGAGAAGGGAAGGGAAAGCAATCAGCTATGAGTAGTTAGCTGAACCATGCAAAGAGGGAAGAACATTCTGATATGTTAAATAGATATATATTTTTCTTTATAAAATTCTGCAAGCTGAGATTGCATATTGCACCACATGCACATTGTGGTCCATAAAACTAGGGTAATAGGGCATTTTAATATATTTGTGATTCACCAGAGCACTGCTCTAGACAGTCCAAATGGTAGCAAGATTTTTTTGAGTTGAATAGTGCAGGTGTTTCAGAATTTGAGTTAGCTTGCAAGGATGAGGAGTGCATGTATTTTTTAAGTGATCACCAGTAAGTGGCTGTCACAGACAGCTATTTGTCATATGGCAATGTTTAAATAAGACATAGGTCTCTTCATATTCTCCTCATATTTTAAGTCTACAGACACTCTTTGAATGTAAAGTTAAAGATTTTTAAAATGTTGGAGACAAAAATGGTTTGAATTTAACCAATTTACTCTATGTTATGAACAAATATTCCAAATATCAATTTATCCTTAAAATACAGATGTGCCTTTCAACCTGAAATACTTAAAGTTATCTGTAATTGTAGATTGAAAATACTCTAGGTGCTGTTGGAGACTGTGTCCAGTACAAAGAAGAAGTTAAAAGTGCAATTGAAGAGTTAATCAACAACTCTAAAGAAGTCCAAGCAGAGGCTGAAAAGATCCTGGATACAGAAAGTTTATTACAAGCTCAGCAACTACTACTTCAGCATCAGGTAGGGCCATTATTCATGCCCATATCCAATTTTTTTAAAGGAAGAATTAATGTAGTTACAAAATTTTGTTATATTCATTAGCATAACTTTATATTTGTGCTTGGAAGAGTTATAAAGGAAACAGTCTTATATGGCCTAGTATTGATTTCTTTTAAAGAAAAAAGCTTTCAGTATTTTTTAAATGTTAATGCCCAAAGATGAGCTTGTTTTCAACTTTTATTTCATATGGGTATTTTTGGCACAAAACACCTGAAAAACAAACTTCATTTACTTCCAGTTTTGGGTGCGTGTATTCTGCTTATAAGTAGACTCTCTCTTTATACCTTTTTAAACCTTGCCTGTCGGATTTGATCACAGTAAATTGGGCACAATTCTGGCTTTGGAAATTTCTCTACTTCAGCATTTTGATGTGGCCCCAACTCTAAATGCCAGAGGGAAGGTGTACCTCTAGCCTCATCTCCTTCTCTAAATAGCTGCTGTTATGACAGATGGGCCTCCATTCTGTAGGAGTAGAACAGGAGCCTTTCTATGCACTGATAATAGATCAAAACATCTACAGGCTACAGTAATAATCAATTATATGGCTTGCATACAGCAAGAATCATAGCTTTAAAGGCCAGAAATGGGACATTAACTTAATAATTTTCTGCCAGTGTTTGGGCATTATTCAAGTGTTTTATATTAACACCTGTTTCTATGAGGTCAGACATGGCTTATTGTCTGACCAAGCACTATTAAGTTTGCTACTAAGTCTTATCTAAAGTCTTTGGTGTTCGTAAGCACTACTGTATGTGTTAAGGTTTGTATTAATTCTTTCAATAATCTACATTCCTTATCTGTCTTAGGAGAGGTAGTAGAAATAGACGACTTCTCCTTGAGTTGTTTTCTTGTGATATAGAGTCTGTTAAGGTAGAAACAGGCTTTGACACAGACCTGGAAATACCCCGAGTAGAATTGGGCAGGGATCTGTGAGCTTACCTAGCAAGGCTGGTATGGGTAAGGCATGTTAGGAAAGGAGAGGGGATGTAGTCTTAGGAGTTTCTAGTAGTGCTACAAAGCAAAACATATGCAGGAAAGGGTTGCACAACTTAGCTGTTCCCCTAGTGCTCTCTAATAAGGCTGATATATTGCTTTGATCAATCTGAGGCTCCAGCTTCTGCCTCAAAAGAGAGCAGAGCAGACCTGGATGCTTCCAGGCAGTCATCAGGAATACATGTACCTGTGGCTCCTGCTGTGGCTTCTGCTTTACCAAATATAGCTTGAGTTAGGTAACTCTTTTTCTTACATTAGTGTGCCACAAAGAGTGTTCACACATTTTGGAAGCCAAGGCAGATATTTGATGAGTATATGAGACTCTCAAGAATACTTGCCAGTTTAACCCTTTGTCCGTTACTCTAGTTGTGTACCCTTGTAAAAACAGAAAGTGGTTGTTGCATTGTGCTGGTTTCCCAAAGAGCTAAAAAGTTTAATCATTCCTGTTGGATGAATCCTTTTAGCAAAGGACAAGGAGACTCCGTGCAAAGAGGCAAGATGTGCAAAAGCAGATCTCCCAAGCCAAACGGTTGCAGATTGAAGGTGGACTGCCCATCACAGTGCGAGAGGACTTACAAAAATTGGAGGGAACGTTGGAGAGCATGCAGCAGACTATGGAGAAACGTGAAGAGCAACTGCAGGTGGGTCCTTTGCAAGTAGAAGTAAACCCTCATGCCCTTTTCTTAGTTTTATTTTTTCAACTTAGTTAAAAACCTTTTTTTTTTAATGTAAAAACCCTGAGCTCTCTTTCTCACCTCTGACTCTTGCTCCTTGGGGTTTTCATTATCAGTACCTGCATGAAAATTTCTTGAAGCTGCTGGATACATCTTAATTAATAAAGACATAACATTTTGTTTCAAAGTGTTTAAAAGTCTCAATTATTAAGCCATAATAGTTATGTTAAATAATGTATCTGTGAATTAATTTTTAGATGGGGTTGCTCTTCTGTTTACTAAAGATACTGCCCTTTATTTGATAGTCCTTAGACTTGATATTAGGTTAATAACACCTGATGTTGTGCAAATACAATTCTCACAACTACTGTGTGAAATACATGCTATTGTCCTAAATGTAAAAAAGGAAGGAAGAAGTCACAGAGAACCAAATGGATTACTCGAGCTTGTGTAACTAATCACTGACTGAACTGGGCTTAGAATTTAAAGCTTCTCACTATGTGATTCACCCTTTACATCTTTCTAAGCAGTGGTAATCCAGCTGTCCTCTATTGCATGCAAATGTTTAAAGTCATCAAAACTATTTCCCATGTAAAACACAAGATGAGAAACATGATCAGTAGAGCTCAAATAACTTCTTAATGTAAGCTTTTATTATTGAAACCCTTTTTTCTCTAAGGAATCCTGTATATAAAGTCTTAAGGTTTACTTCGCTTCAGAATCAAGAAAATAATTGTTTAAGCTGTCATAATTCTTGTGACTAGTAATTAAATGCTTTATGCTAATAAAAATTCTACATTATCAGAAAAGAACATGTGTGATTTTCCTGTGAGTAGGGATTTTCTTCTACCATTTTAATGTAATATATTTCATTAAAGAACTTGAAAATCCATTTAGATATTTTTGATTACCTGTCACCATAAGCATAAGTATCTGCATGTATTACTTCAGACTTCTTGTAGTACTTTAAAATGTAAGATTTAAATATTGCTGGCACCTTAGAGAACAGTGCCTGTTTTGCATAGCACAGTATGAATCAGTGAAAATTCAAGGGAAAACTTTTCTTTAATTGGGGGTTTAGAACAGTTTCATCTAATGAGTAGATGGCACTTTTTTTTGTGTAGATGTTTTATTTTATGTCAGAACTTTTTCTCTTCTTCATTAACTTACAATGATGATCTTGTTTTCTCCTCTTTGATCTCTTTGTCTTTTTTGTTCCTGTTTTGGATTTGCTTGTTTGTTTTTTTAGGTCACAATAAATAAATGGGAGCAGTTTGAAAGAGACAAAGAAACGGTAGTAAAATATCTCAATCAAGCAAGCTCTGTACTTGAACGTATCTTAAACTTTAGCAGTTTAGAGAGCCTCACCTCAGAACTGGATCAGACAAAGGTATTCACTGTGTGAAACACAAGAACTGAGCTCTTTTTGCCTCGTTTGTTGACATGTGCTGAGTGTATTGTCTTCAATCTTTGCATGGTTTCCTGTTAATGCCAGTGCAAATTGCAATGCAGATGAGAGACTGCATAAACTATTTAGAGGTAAAAAGTCATTTTATGAAAAAAAATCATGAAGGTTTGCTCAAAGTCTGCATCTGAAGCACATGTATGATAGTTAAAATGATTTTGAGGACTTCCCATTTTATGCTCAGGAACCATCTATGCCAGTAAACCAAATGTGTCAAGCACTGGCATATCAACATTAATGGAGCATGCTTTGGCTAGGTTATGTGAAATGTGACAACTAGCACTCTTTCAGCCCAGAGAAGAAAATGGAGAGACTTCTATACCATGGACATAAGCCATAACATGCCACTTGCCCTTAGTAGTACAGAATTATCCCAGCCCATTTTATTTACTACTACAGAACTACTCTAAGAGATTGTTTTTCCTAAGTGCCGTGCTTTTCACACTGTTACTAACCTTTGATGAATCCAATCATAAATTATACATATCTTGATTATGCTCTGCATCCATTGTTCTGGTGTGTGGGTTTAACATTTGTGACAGAAAATCCTTGCCAAAGTGAGAATACAAAATATGAGATACTGCAAAATCAACTTTGTAAATGGTAGGATTTAAAAATTAAATGCATATAGTCTTCTGCAATTAAAAAAATAATTCTTGAAGAGCTATAGAATAAATTTTGATTTGTTGAATTAAAAACATTTGCACATATAGCTTCTCTTGCTAAATTTAATTCAAGCTAGTTTGATCAAATGAACTTTTCTTAAATGTAACATGAAAATAACTTTCTTCAGAGATTGTTTTTATGTATTTACACACTCAAAATATATTTATAGGACACAAATACTTTTTTTCAACCACAAACATTGAGGAAAAATACTTTTTGTGTAAATATATGGAACCATTTATAGTTTTATTAATATGTCTTGCATCCTTACAGGAACTTTCTAAACAGACTGAAGCAATGGCAGTGCAGGCTGAGAATTTGGTGAAGAATTCTTCTGAGATACAGCTTGGTTCAAAGAACAAGCAATCCCTTCAGCATCAGGCAAAATCAATCCAAGAACAAGTGAAAAAAGTGGAAGTTACTCTTGAAGAAGAGTATGTTCTTAACAAGTCCTAATATTTATTCTCCACTATAAAATTGTATTAGATTTCTAGAATACCTTGTTGGCATTTCGTGTTGTCTCATCAGCTCCATCACTTCTAGCTTGCTCTGGCATAGTAACCAAGTTATAGTACCAAATGTGTCAAAAGAGTGTGTGCAAATAAACAAAATATTTTTCTAGTTACATTCAACCTGTTACTTATCTTTGAGCCCCAGTCTTGTGAAGAAGGGATAATTGAGCTCATTCTTGAGATACTGGACTCTCGTAAAAGAAAAATCTCAGTGCAAGTATGAGAACAGCACATTTACCACATTTGTCTCAGTCTTCAGTATTCCAATTTCACCACAGGAGTGTCAAGAAGTGCCTTCATCTTAGCTGAATGCCCAGATTGTATCAGGGGCAATATCAAAAGCTACGTCTGCTGCAAAAACCAGCAAGTACCACCACCCCTGTCTGAATGTGAGCAACAGGCAATGCCCAAATTATTGCGTTTTTTTTTCCCCTGTTGACCACTGTCATGCTAACTGGACTTTAATTTAGTGCCATTTTCTTCCTGATGTGAAAGAAATGTTATAAACCAGTATAACTAGCCTGCATGGCAAGTGGTGATCTGATTTTTTACATAATGCTTTCTCCAATATGAAGTATTACCGTAATTTGCAGTCAAATTCTACCATCTCTTACTGAAAACTTTATACATAATTTTCTCCACTCTTAGAGAGAAAACTAGTGTGATATTTCCAATCCAAGAAATTCACCCTTCAACAATGAATATTCACTTTTTAAATAATGTAATCTATTTTTAAATTAAAGTCATCACTGATACACCCTTTCTATGTAGATATGAAACGGGTTTTATTTGAATGTATGGGTTATGTAGAATGTCTGTGGTAGTGTGACAGGTAATAAAAACCTAAATCCCTTCTGTTGAACATGCAAATATATAAAACTCTCTATGGTGAATCTACAGGATATATAATATGTGTTGTAAGGGTTATGTTTTAACTTGCATCATCAATAAAAATCTTGGCTGAGTAATTTAAAGTGAAGGCATTTCAAATACGTGAGGTACATATTATGCCAAAGAACAGGAAAAGGAAAGAAAAGTTTGAGCAGCTCTCCACAGTCAGCTAAAGTGAGAATTTAGCTTGTCTCTTTTCCAAGGAGATCATGCATATCTGTGCAGTGTGGTTGGGATTATATTCTTTACAGTCTGAGGCTCTCTTAAAACTACGAGGAAAGCAGATACAAAGGTGAAGGATTTTCAGCAGTTGTGCCACAGATTTGGTCTCTTGATTCTGATTTCCAGCTGCATTTTCTTGGGCTGGACTTGAGTGAAATATTTTTGCACATTGTTTTCCTACAAATAACTTGAATTTGCATACACTCTTATCAGTAAATGGCTGTTGACATTCCTTTTTTTTTTCATTTTGAAAATAAATAAGAAAAAATAAAAAAGCCAATTTTTACATTTTTAGACTACATCTTTTCTTAAAGCTTCCTCTAGCTTTTATGGGGGGGGGGGGGGGGAAGTTAAAAACTTTTTAACAAGGAATGGTTTTTAAGGCTATATTTAAAAGGAAAATGTATTTTGGAATTTTGTAATAGTCAAACTTTTATGATGAAATTTTAATATTTTCACTGAAATAGAAAATGTGTGTTTTGCTAGCTGTGTGCAGAGCCTGCTGTGCTGGTGCACTGGTTTCTCTACGGTGATTTGAAAGGAGCAGAAACTTGTATACTGGAAGTTAATGCTTATATAAGGGCCTTAGACTTTTTACTTGTGACAGAAAAAAAAGGTGCTTTGTTTGCTATCCAAGACATAGAAGAATAAGTCATAATCTGTCTCTGTTTGACATACCTATAATGTATGTTCAAAGAATATAAACCTATTAAATTCGAGGGAGTTGACTCACACCTGTTGTTGTTCTTTGGCTTGCTATGAAATCATTGCCGTAGAAAGCACAAAATTCCTGAAAGACAGGGAGATTGCTGTTTTAAAAAATCAAGATTAATATAGTCAAGCATTGGTACATCCACATTACACTGGTTTTTATGTTTCTGGTCTAGGGACTAAATGACATCTATGCATTCAGTTATATAATTTTTTAGATTTCTGATATAATCATAATTCCATAATATTTCATAGATATCCTAGTGATGTTCCTTTTCCTTTCTCTTCTTGCTGTGATGAGATTCTTGTACAGCTGATGAATAAAGCTGTACTTTCTTTTACCTCTTGGTGTCCCCACTATGGCTAATATTTGACTTTTGGTGCATAGCCTAAAAGAGAACCAAGTTTTGATTTAGATGCACAACTTGGTCTTCTAAAACCAAGAGTTTTTAAAATGACCCTCCTGTAGAGTGAATAAGTTTCACTTTTATTTTAGCAAGAATATGGGCAGCTTCATTATATTAAACTGTTTATTCTCTCTAATTGATTTGGTTAATTTTAGTATTAAAAGCATGGAAATGGTGAAAAACAAGTGGGATCATTTTGGCAGTAATTTTGAAGCTCTGTCCATCTGGATAGCTGAACAAGAAAAAGAACTGGAAACTTTGGAAACATCATCATCTCCTTTGGACATACAGATCAGCCAAATCAAGGTGATGAGTTCTTATTATGTTTAGCATTAAAAGCCCATTTATCTGTCATTTTGCTAGAGGCCAAATGGGAGAAGAGACGTATTACATGTTTCAAAACTACCATGATGTAATGATGGCACACTTTCTACATGAATATACCAAGCAGTAAGGTTTTACTTCAACTAAAGGAAAAGTCTTATATACTGCCTTTTCTTTTAGTGTTTAGTTTACACATATGAAGCCTTTGTGTATGTGGTTAAAAATATTATTGAATTTTTACCCTTCTTATTTTTTTGAGTAATCTCAACTATTGTACAAAATAGCTACATAATTACAAGATGTATAAAGATTTGGGGTTTTTTAAGTATTCATCAGCTAGTGGCTATAGAACTTGGTTTTAATCTTACAAGCTAACATTATAACTTGATTTATGTGTCTTTTATGCTGAAATAATAAAGAAACTATTGCTCTTGATAGCTTGCAAACCTACATACCATTTATTGCTATTATATTTACACTGTCTTTAATTCTGTGTACTTTCCTGTAGATACAGTGGTTTAGTTTTGTATTGCTAACTGAGGTGCATATTTTCTCCGAGTATTGCATATCAAGGACTGTCTTCGTATCCTCCCACAAACTAAAATGTACCTTTTCTGAAACAGCATGTTTCTAAGGTACAGAGTTTTTCAATATGCAATGCTCATTGCCATTTCCTTTACCCTGGGACTTATTTGCTCTTCAGAAGGTGCACAGGTTTACAGCTGCTTGCAGACCAGCTTGACACTAAGTATTTCCAAAGGACCCTATAAAGGCACTTGTTTCATGTGACATTTTCCTGTTCTTAATTTGTTCACAACTTTACCTACACAAAATAAATAAAATCTCTTGAGTTCCTCATTGAAGAATAAAACAATTGCTTCATCGCCACAGCAATTCAAAACCAGTTTCCTTGTGAAATAATATATATGCACTTATTCCACTGGCATACCTATCATGTTGTCTTGCTTTTCAGTAATTAGTGGACAGGATTCCAATGTTTAAAACAGAAAATAAGTGCATCAAATGATACTAATATTGCATTACAGTGTGACAGTTCTTGTCTGTCTAAATGGAGCCTGCTTAAGCCCTACTAGCCCATTCCATCCAACTTCCCAGAAAGGCCATTCCTTAATATAGGTGCTGATAAGCTGTGATTTTCACACTGCACTGAAAGTTTGTGAAAATTCTACCATAATTCTTTCTCATTTGAACACCGTGACACAAAGAAAATGGTCAGCAGATGACATATATAATTATCTGAGTGAACAGGCTTAAAGCAGAGAAAATCCTCCAGATAAGGCATAGGGTACATCATTGTACCTCAGGTGAACAAATGAGCTTTATGAACTGATATGTGAAACAAGTCATCTAACCTCCAATGCATGGACATAGCTGGAGGTCTTCAGCAGCATTGCTTGGTGCCCGATTTTGAAGATTTTCTTATGTTTGGGTTTTTTTTGTATGTTTCCCGATGACTTACTCTGTGTCTTAACACGAATGAGCATATTTTGTTCATAATTTCTAGTGCGACATATTAGTAAGGAATATTGACACATGAGGCAAATGAATCAAAAATACTGTGTTCCCTGATAATTTTGGCTGACCAGATAAAAAATTGGGGCCAGCTGAATGTAATTATCCAACACGGTAGTGATAATATTCTACTTCTGGTGACATTGATTGCAATGCCCCAATGACTTCAGCAGAGCCAGATTTTCACCTACACATTTCTCCAAAATTCCTGGTGGAACAAAATGACAGTTATCACAAGTAGTTACCAGTGGTGGCAGACTCAGTGAGAGTTTGAAGGCCTCAATTATCCACCTTCTTTTATGTAACTGAGTGAATTTAACAGAATAGCGTAGGAGTGAGAAAGCACTGCCTCATTTTTATCTGCTGCATTGTTAGATAATTTCAGCTTCAGGGCTGCAAATCTGGTATTTTTCCTCAGCACCATATTCTCATGCAAAAGAAGATATTTTATAATCCAAATTAATTCAGAATATATTGCATAAAGAGACACTATAAATTCTTATAGCACCACAGCTTTTCCTGACAGTCACCCTGCTAATTTTTGACTGAACGTTGCAGTAAGCCACCCTTGACCTTTAATATGCCAAGAAAGATACCATATTTTTATCACAATTCTAGCAGAAGTTGGGCACTTCCTATGCCTTGAGAGAGCATTTTCAGGAAAGCTTTTGGTTGATTTCATATACATACATATCATAACATTTTTATATCTGAGAATGCTCTATAGGCTATTTCATTTTCAAAAAACAGTCTTGATTCTTTCAAATCTCTCCCAATAAGTGCTTTTCATTGCTTTTGAGAAGAACTCCATGGACATGATACATCAGCAGTAATCTTAAAAAAGTTGTGAAGAAACTATTTTCCAAGTTAATTGATGCCTACTGAATAAATAGCCACTGAATGTGAAACACTGTAAGTTTGTATCTTGGATGTTGTAGCTGCCAGGTTTGCCTCTCATTTGTAATAAAAACAAGTGCAAAATAATAGGAAACAGTAGCTGTCATGCAGCTGATGAAATGTAAAGCCAGTGCTAGTTTGTCTTTATGCATTTACTAATTGACATACAAGACAGCTGAAAATTACCAAAGACCATTATCATCCCTGTATTCATGGGTTCCTAATTATACTGTAATGTGGTTCTTTATTTAATCATCTGTCTGAAGGGACACTTGCCCTACCTTATCATCTAATTTAATTTATCCTTTATTATACCATAGTATTTTAAATTAGAAGATGAAAACAATCTCTATTGTTTTTCAAATCTTAGCATGTTTTAGTTTGAAGTAACTGAAAGCTTTTTAAACATAAGTTCAGGTTCAGGTCTTTAACAACATTTTTTTTTCAGTTATACACTCATGTTTTTTCATCTTCTATTTATTTTTTATCTTAAAGAGAATTATGTATTACTTTCCTGTGAAGTAAGAGCTGCTAAAATTTGAACCATCATGTCTACTTACAAAAATATGCACCTTAGCCAATTCTAATTACTCTTCATATACACTGTTTTTGGGGCAGGCTGTATTCCAAACCCAGTGCAAGTTTCAAGAGGAAAGTGGGTATTTATAAGGCATATTGAAGACTTTTGTGACTAGTTATTTAAACTGATTAATGGAGCCTCCTCTTCTGTAATTTTTTGATGAAGGACATTAGTAGCTTAGATGAAAAAGGGAGTTGGAAAATATTACTCTGATAATTAAAACCTATTGTGCTTCTTTCTACTATTACTTTACATTTTAGGTTATTAATAAAGAGATAGATGATAAAATAACTGGAATCTCAAATCTTGAAGTGGAAGCCGAGTCTTTTTCCCAGTTTGTTACCTCTGGAGAACGTGCCCATATTAAAGCCAAACTGACCCAGGTCAAAAGGTATTGGGAAGAGCTAAGAGATCATGCACAGAGACTGGAAGGAACAATCACAGGGAATGCATCAGCACAGCAGAAATATGAAGAAAGTTTTAAACAGGTAGACAATGCAAAATCTAATGGATTGAATATAAAATGCATATTATAATAAGATGGACTAAAATATATGAGTAGTTTTATAAGGTAATTGCAAGACCTAGATGCATAAATTTGTGCTTTGAGTTATTTAAAAGGCAGCTTCAGGAAGACACTAAAATATACGCACTCAAAAAATTATCCTGTGTTTTAGAAAACCTAAGTGATTCTTCTGAATATTGCACACTATTGAAACAAGTCCATATTGCACTAATAAACCACATCCATCTGATAAACACTTTAACTTCAATCTTGGGTTGCTAGAAGGTTGTAAGGAAAGTAATTTAAACATTATTATTGTCCCAGTCAGGAGGATCTGAGCATGGTTAGCATCTTTTAAATTCAAAGGCACTCAGTACTAAAAAGGCTTAGGATATAATATTCTTTTAGCACTAAACATTTTAAAATATGTT